TGACTTATTTAATAAGTGACAGAGATTCAAATGATATCTCTTAAATGCAAGGCAAACACGGCTTAGCATGTCACTATCTGGTGCAATGCAGTCCCTGTACATATAATATGCTGCATCTTTACTAAAAACGCTTGCAAAATCTTTAGTGAACAGGAGAGCAATATACTCTACTATAGTTATATAAATATGTTGCTCCTAAAAGTTCCCTTCTTTGATTTTTCCTTAAAAATTTATTAGGATATAATTATTGCCTGCAATTATATGTTGATGCATTTTGTTCAAAGGGTAAGTACTGTGCTGCTTTTACTCGTTCTTAGCAGACAATTTTACACACAGCACATTCTGCTTGTAGCTGTATTCATATATTTTTCTGTTAAACTTGTACTTAAATAGTGTAGGCTAACTCATTTAGAATTTATTATTTTTAAAGTACTATATTTTTTCTATGCAGATTAATACAATAACTTATATATTTTATAAGCAGAAAGATATGTGGAAAGGTTTACATTATTTGTAAGCATACATACTGCTATTTGTAAATGAAACTTTCTCTTTTGTGATTAAATTAAAAATAGTATAAATTCAGGTTTATAATGCAAATATTGTTTAAACTGAAAATATTTGTTATTTTGCTTACAATATTTTTTTAGGGATAATTTAAAATGTGTAGCTTGAAAGAAAAAAGTTTTATGGAATTGTAGCGGGTGAGCAGCTGTTTCCACATTGTTAGGGCACAGAAGTTAGAGTTCTGATTGCCACATTAATCAGAAAGAATTGAGACTACAAAATCCATTTCATTTAATCTCATTATTGAATAAACAGCTCTGTAGTGATTCCTATTTGTACTTGTTTCTCTAATAAAAATGCAACTGTAGCTCTCAACACAAATTAGTTTTAATTATTTAAATTATATGACTTTTTCAAACATAAATAATCTAACACCTGTTTTGCCTTTTCATTTTATGAAAAAAATGTTCCATGAAAACTAATAGAGGATGATAGTGGGGAATAACAAAGGTAGGTCTATGTGTTTATTACAATTCTATTAATTAAAAAAAAGATGTAAGTGTGAGTTGATTACCATCTGTCAGGATGAAGAAGCAGTCTGTTTCATTGCTATGCAAGGACACAACAGAGAATAGCAAAACAGAAGGATGTCTCACATACAGTGGGTCAATACAACTCACTTGTCCTGTGCTCATCTCTGAGAACTGGTGACAGTGATTTACAGTATAGCAATTCATCTTCTGAATACAATGATAACATTACAAAGCAATGACTAGTGTAGCTTTTGAGACGCTTAATCAAGGAACCAAAAGCTGCCATGACAGTCACCAATATATGTGAAACAAACCTTCTCAGGAGAAAAAAAAAAAAAAAAACAAAAAACAAATCTGATTTTCCCTGTGTTGTTTTAGTAACTTCATTTCAGGAGATCTGCCCGACTGTGAAGAGTATCCAAGGTATCAGAAGGGTATAATGTGGTATAAGAACCTATTGGTAGCTCACTCTGAAAATGGAGATCTGTTTGTTTTCTCCACAGAATAGCAGAATCATATTTGTTGTTTCTGTTTCATGCTACGTTTTGTTTTAAAAGATTTGCTATTTAAAATTCTGGTTATCTTAAGACACTGACCTGAATTCATTTATAATTTGGTTGAGGAGGGATATTAAATATGTAATCCAGTTGTGGTTGGTGGTGGCCTCATATGGCACTTCAAGCAGTGAGAATTTGTATGATTTTCTGTATATTAAACCATACTTTAATATTGATTCTGTTTGTGGTGTATTAACTGTTATCCTTTCTTGGTAAAGGAAATATGATAAGCAGATAGTTACTGTTCTAAATCAACAAGGCAATTTTAGAGTCACACAAAGTTGTTGAAACTACCACTCAGTAGTTTGTCTGCCAGATTAATCATCTTTATTGTCCCTTCTGGAGGTGTGTCTCTTCCTTCGTGCAAAATATTTCCAGCAGGCAGGCTTATCATGAGAACTTAAGACACTCCAAGGATATGATTATGTGACCATCATATTTAACATTGTGCCCTACATATCAATAACATAGCCCAGGGTTTCAGAGCTGTCCTTTTTTTAAAAAAATGCAAATTACAGAAAATGTTTTCTAAAGCATTTTATTATATTTCAGAGTGCATTTTCTCTCAAAATGCTCCTATGGTTATTTTACATTAGCTATAGTCCCTTATCAGTGCAGTTAATTTAAAACACTTATACTCAATTTTTTGTATTTCATCCTCATTTTTGAGACCCTTTGTTTGCAACACTTATTGTTAAATAATCAGTAAATATACTACAAGAAGGTACTGTGGGACTACAATTTTTTTTATGTCATTGGAATGCAACTCAAATTCAGTAGTCAAAATAATTTCTAGTGTTGCAGAGAGCTACAGTATGCAACTACTCAAGGAAAATCTAGATTTGATTTTAGTTCTTGTTATTTTTATAATAATTTTTATAAATTTATAACTTGAAACTAAATAAATGCAATGTCATTTAAAAGAAAAAAAAAGGATATGGAAGAAAGAAGGATGTTTTCAAAACTGCAACTGTACATTGTAGGACACCTTCCTCTTGTAGTACTTTTGATGTTGAAGAAAGGGCTAGAAGCTGTCTTTAAGCCTCCAGAACTGTTTCATTGTTGGTCTGACCACACGTGTGGTGGAAAAAAAAATTGTGATAGAAAAATTACTTTTGCATTTATGTGTTAGACTGGAACTTTGCTCTTAATTTTTAATGGACTGCTCTAAAAAACAGAACTATTTTACAACCTAGTCAGCTAGCTTGTAATCTAAATACATAAATTAATATAGGTAAAATGGCTTTGCTGATGCTGCATTCAATGCTGCATTCAGTGCTGTAATGTATCTCAAGAAGCCTTCATATTACTAAAGATACTATGATGACAACTAAGCAAGTATATCAGGATAATCAGGTTTATTATTAGTACCTTTGAAACAATATAAACTTATATCTCAGTTTTTAAATGCCTTTCCCTAAATAAATGGAGTTCTTTGTTACCTGATCGGAGCTGTTAGTAAAGGCAAGGGTAGGGGAA